CTCCATACAGGAGGCGTCTTGAAGCTGTCATTGACAACAAAGGCTTTTGTACAAAGTATTAGATAAATTTCAGTAAGTTCATTTCTGGACATTTATGGTTTGATTTCTTTGTATGTATGGATCACTTGGGTTGTTACCAACATCTGGTGAAAATTTCATGTCATTAGCACCTCTAGTATTATATTTACTGAGAAAAATGTTGACGTGTTCAATACTTATTTTACCCGCTGTATATGGTATGTAAATATACCTCATTGATTGAAACAATATGAACTCAGACTTTTCTGCATCTCCCTCTGCTAATAACTCAAAATAACCTACAAAACATCAGATTCTTCTCCACAGTCTGTTTTTAGCTGTTGTAGCAAAGCTCTGTTCACATTCAGACATTCCCTTTTGACATCACTTCCATCACATCARTTGTTGTTTTACATGGAAGTATCTCAACAATGGTTCGTCTCAGGAATGTAAATTTTTCTCTGCAATATTTACCTCCGCRAAGGAGGTTATGTTTTCGGTTGCATATGTCTGTCTGTCTGTGGACAAAATTACTCAAAAACTTATGGACAGATTTTCATGACATTTTTACCACAGGTGGGTATTGGCCAAAGGAACACACCATTAAAGTTTGGTGATGATCCAGATCCAGGAATTTTGTGAAGGATTCTTCATTATTGCAGGTCAGGGGAAATGGCCTTGGTGGAGGTTTGCGCTCTCCAAGTGCTTCTAGTTTATCAATGTTATCTTTCCGAAAATGCATTTATATTTAGTATAAAAATCTGATGTCACAGGCACTTTCAAGCTCGGAGAATGAGTACCAGATCCTGTTTAACGGGCAACAACAAAGTCTGGCTCTTCGGGAGCCAAAGATCGAGAAATCACAAGTGCCAACAGGAGGGCGATAGGGCGAGCTAAAGATCATGCAGTGGAAATAGTTTGTGTTCCACTTACAATCTCCTGAACGACTTTATCCACGACTCCAACATCTTGCAGGTTGTGCAGAAAGCGGGAAGCTGGGGAACTGGCGATCTGACGCAGTTGGTCGATATTGGCAGGCTCGTTGGCTTCACGGGTGATTCCTATGGTGAAGAACCGTACACCCTGGTTCTTCGCATCAGCCGAGGCTAAAAATATGTCRGGGTTCCTTGGGTGCGAGACGCCATCGAAGAGCAGGATGGCCACCTTGATGCTGCTGGTGTCCGACTCCTCCAGGTAAATGCGGGTCAGGTTGGTGATGGCGTAGGTGGTGTAGGTGCCGTGTCCTATGTACACGATGGGAGCGATTCTTGACTTGAAGTTGTCGATGCCCCTCCACTGTTTGAAGGTCTGCTCTATGATGACGTGACTGCTGTACTGCAGGAGGGCAGCGCGGGAGCTCAGGCCTTTACCGGTCAGCAGCCGGAGGTTCTGCAGCCGGTCCATCACGTCTGAGGCGAAACGTTTCTCCTGTTCGTGGTTGTCTTTGGCGCTTTCTGAGCTGTCGATCAGGAAGGCCAGCTCCAAACCGCAGTCCTCGTCAACCAGAGCTGCAGAGAAACGAGACATTTTACATAAAATAATAAATATTTTACTTTTGTAGTACATTTCTTGCTTTAATTCATCATTAGGATAAGTAAAAAAAAAACGTGACATCAGCTGTCAGGTGTGTAAAGAGGTCACAGATCTCATTTAGGCTGAGGATAAATGTCATTAATCTTCACAGGAACATGGACAGAATGTGCCCGAGGAAAGGATTCAGGGTGAATAAAACATGTGGGTACCACTGAGCGGTCACATTGGTGATGGATTGCTCAGAGGTATGGGTCCTCCAGCGATGGAATCATGTTCAGCACATAGTTTCTCTGCTGTTTAAGTAAAAACACAAAAAATGAAGGAAAAACTRGGCTCTGGACCCTTAAGTTTTACCGTTCTGTGGTACCAAGTCGGATGAAAACAGTTTGCTTTTCTTCTTGCTGGTCACCACTTCCTCTTCATATTCATCTTCATAGTCCTGTGCCCACAGACCCTGAAGACCCCACAGCAGGAGGATCCAGTGCAGAGAAGGGACCATGGCTCCCCAGAGAGGCCTATAAAATGAATTTTGAAAGGAGAATTTAAAAAGGGAGACATGTTTCCTTTTTTTAAAAAAAAAAAAGAACAAGCTTTAACAAGTATGGAAGTTGAAGAGATTACCGGGATGCATACCTCACAATGCTGCTGACTCAGCTCTTTAATGTAATCCACTCTGCAGAAGACAGGAGACAAAGTTCAGAAAGACAAAGCTAAACTGATCTTCCAGTGGTTAGACATCAGCTGAGATCCTTCAGGTCCAACCAGCAGCAGCAGAACCTCCTCTGGTTCTCATGGGACTCCCTCAGATTAAACTCATTCAAACCTTTGAGGAGCTGAAGTCCAGCCCTTTTTTTACAACTCTCTCACTCACTTCTGGGTGGAGAGTGGGTGGGAGAAAAATCCTCCACTGAGCTCTGACTGACCTCTCCTTTGTTTAAATGAGACTTCTTCCATTTTCAAACAGAATTTTATTAAAGAAAGCAGTAAGAATAACATTTCCTTGAGGAGAAGAACTGTCGGACTTTCACCCAGACCAGCTGGCTGGACTCTGAGTCAGACTTCATCAGTCCGTTAACAGAAGAGTCGTGGTCCGGATTATTGTTATTAACCCTTGTGTTGCCCTTGGGTCAAAATGTTCCAGAAGAAGGGTTTAAATCTAATCAAAAACTAAAGAGATTTTTTTGAGTATTTGAACTAGTGATGCCAGATGTTTGTTTTTTTTTGTAGCAGTTTTCATCTGAACCACATGTAATGTGATTTATCAAGTTGCATTTGCATCACTGTCTTTTATGGATTACAGCTCAAAATGTTTTTAAATTATATTTCTACACAGCTTCAATAAAAACCAGGCAGCAACTGTTGCAAAGTCAAAATTTATGTAATTTATTAAATAACCAGAAACTCGGGACTGAACAGGACATACACATGTGAGGATCTGACGAAGAACAAGAGTTTATATCTGCTGGAAGGGGCTGATTAGAGTGAGAACAGGTGTGTCAGCAAAAAATTAATAAATAAAATAGTACAGGAAAGTGCTGAAAAACAAAAACTACAGAGTGAGTCAAAAGCCGCCGGACACCCTTTCATTTCTGGAACATGGCTGCCATTTTGAAAGCTGCCATTTTGGATCAAAGTGAAATTTTTCCCATGGGAGGGTGGTCATGTAGCATATCAAAGAAGACCAGAATTGTCTCATAAATTCAATCACCGCTATAGCTGACAAGAGACGGAGGAACCCATTGGTGAATGTAACTATCAATATTGCAAAGGGTGGTGGAGGAATGTGGTGGTGTGCTTATGAAACTGGATTCCCTCCAAACAAAGGAGACAGAAAATTTGTAGACAGGATAAAAAATGGGCTCACAACATACTTCATCTTTTACCCATAAAGGCCACTTCATGTGAAAACCATAAACTGAAAAGATTTCTTTAGATTTCTACAGGCACAGGGTTGTATTCAGTACAAAAGTAAATTAAGAAGAAATCTGACAGAAACAAACATTTTCAGCATTTTGAGCTTAGCCGTTAATGCCTTAATTAAAAAAAAAAGCGGTCTCCAAACTCTATGGGGCTTTGGGCTGCGCCGAACATGAAAATACTGCATACATTAGGGACACGTGAGAAAAAGAGGCAGAAATTCATAATGAGCTGGTGACAGCGGGGTCCGGTCCTCCCCAGGCGGCTGCAAGACTTCTTAATTTGATCTCAACTTTATAGAGAAAACGAACTAAAAACGACACATGAATTACAGTTAGCTTATTTAACTTCTATAATATCAAACTCAGATGTTTTTCTGACTTCTGATGTTGAAAAACTCTCTTTAAAAATAATAAAAATGTTATCTCTTGTCCTGCCTTTACAAACTTCCAATTGGCTGAGAGATAGTCACATGGGGTGTCACCCGCTTCACTGACATCACGGTTCTGCTGCTATAATGATTGAACAAACCCAGATTGATGTGGTTACCTGTACAGTGGTTAAATCAAGATATTATCACAGTGATTGACACATGATAGAAAAATGCATTGTTTCTTTTTCTTCTTTTTTTATCAGACAACCAAACAACAGAAATTTACCCAGAACATAAACGGCCATTTTGAACACTTAAAAGGGGTCTCACAACAGGGCTTAATCAATGGAAGGTTGCAGTTCCTGTTTATTTTTGCATTTGTAGACAGTGGAGAAAAAGGGCGAGGCCAGTGGAGAAAGCCATTGTTCTCTATAGATATGGCAGGAGGAGGAGAGAGGGAGAGGGAGGGAGATAGAGGGAGGG